TCAAAAATCAACTCTTCGCCATGAAACAGGAAGTTGTTGTAACTTCAGTGTACATGCTCACATCTGCACCAAATTGTACATGTAGGATTAGAGTCCCGCCCTGAGCACATGTACATGCCAACATTCACCCACAGTCATAGCGCCACCTGCTGGCAACAGGAAGTGACCTTTAACGAAGCAGCCCCCACCGCACGTTTGACCTACATGTATGAAATTTCTGTGGCACATGTATCATGTCTAGACTTCAAAAAGCCTCTTGGAGCGATGCTCCAAACCCAACAGGAGGTCAGCCATTTTGAATTTTATGGTCATTTTGGATGATTTACACACTACGTACTTTAACAAACTCCTCCTAGGGGTTTGGTCCGACCAACGTCAGATTTTCCGTGTCTACTCTAAAGCCTTTGACGATTAAAAGTTGTACAAACAGTGTGTTTTCGTGAAACGGCATGCCCGTTGCGTGCCATCAAAAATCAATGATTCCCCATGAAAGAGGAAGTTGTTTCTGGATAACAGTCCTGCCCCGAACACATCTATATGTTCATTTATAGTCGTAGTGCAAAGTGCTATGTAGCGTCATAAAGGGGACATAGGAAGTGATGATTAACACGTTTGTTCAGTGTCCGAAGCGCGTTGGAAATTCAAAGCCACACTGGCAGAGCTCCAGAATCTGCAACGCGGCCACCTCACATCTCGACGCGCTACACGTGCGAGGGCCCACCCAACGCTTCTTGAATCTGTTTTTCCTCCTTAAATTTTTATTGCAAAAAGAGAAATAAAGTGTACATGGGACTTAAAGAGGTATACAGAACTTTGATTCGTGCAAAATCACATACTGCATATACACATTTTGCAAACATGTAATTTGTAATATGGTTACATTTGAGATGTCTAAACAAGCTGAAAAAACATTGTCAGTGACTTACTGTAGCTGATTTTGGATATGCCACATAAATAACTGCAAGACTTAAATTGTTTTATGTTTCAATGAATGTTTAAAAGAATTTTAAATATTAAATAAAATTTAGAGAATTAAGAATAAGATTTTCATGCTCAAAGAAATAGTTCTAAATTCTGGGAAACTTTTTTGCCCTTTGCAGCAAGTTAGGAATATCGATACCCCTCTCACGTGTAAGCTAAATATGAAGTTAGAGCCAACAGGTTTAGGTTAGACTTCCCCTGCTTCTAGTCTTTTCACTACTTCTCGCCCACTGACTGTAGCTTGATATTCAGAGTACACACTTGAGAGTGGTTATCAGTCCTGTCTCGGCAAGAAAGTAAGCATAAGCTTATTACTGAAAATGTCTATTCGTTTTAACTTGAATGACTGGTGATGACACGTGATGTTGATGATAATTTGGACAGCATATAGATTCAAGGAAAGAGTTCTATATCGAGCCTGCTCCAACACAGTCTCACATCAATTTGACGTCTAAAACTGCAGCAACAATAACGAAAAAAAAACTGTCTTAGTAGCCTGTTTCATCATAAGTAAAAGCATAAAAAAACATAAAAAAGTTTGAGTCTGAGCAACAGTACTGTCAAATGGTTGGATCAAAGTTGCCTGTAACCCTCTCCTTGAAAATCAGGTGCAAACAGGACTGGAAAATAAACCACGGAGCCTGTCCACAGCCCTCAGCTCTCGATCTCCTTCTACCTAGTGATTCCATCACCGAGCTCAGGAGTTTATACGGATGATCCAGTCCCTGCCCGGAAGGGGTAATGAAGTGACTAAGGGCTGACTGTCCTTGACTGGTGACAAGACAGCAGGTGTGAGAGGTGAGGGTGTGACTGTGAAAATGCAGATATGTGTGTGTGTGTGTGAGTGACAGACAGAGATAGAGAGAGAGAGATACTAAGTATACTAAGATTGCTGACAATGAACCAGGCACCTAACCACAGGTCCAGATCAATTAGTTGGCCCTCTCTGTTAGCCATAAAGATCCCCTGATTTACCCCTGTATCTGTCATTTTTACTGCCACAGCACTGCCATCTATCAGCCTCTCTCTCTCTTTCTCCTTTTCTCTTTCTTCCCCCCTCTCTCTCCTGCTCTTTCTCTCTCTCCCTATGTCTATCCAAGCCATCTCTACTTTACACACTACATTTATGCTCCAGCTTGGTAAAACGGTAATCAATGTCTCACAACAGTGGACTTCTTCATCTAAACGATTTTTCAGGAGGACTGTGTACCTGTGTGTGTGACACAGAGGGTGCATGTGGGTGTGCATGTGTGTGTGACACAGAGAGAGAAAGAGACAGAGAGAGAGAGTGACAAAGTGAAATATAGATCTTTTGCTGTATTCACACATCAGTACTAACAAAGTTTTGTATGTAAGTAAGCTTCTGTTTTTGTTTATCTATGATTTGTTTTTGTGTGTGTGTGTGTGTGTGTGTGTGTGTGTGTGTGTGTGTGTGTCTGTTGAAAAATGTGTGAAAATGCCTGCCTGGAATTGGCACTGACTCCAGAAGCTCACAGTAATGCATTCACTTTTGGTACATAAATCACAATCAGCCCATTCTGCCATCTGGGTTACTGCTACATGGCCCTTGTAATGTACACGGTGGTTAGACCACCGGCTGAATAAATGAGGAGTCCAGGATACACAGCAGATATGCGTCTGTAATGGGCAGTAAGGTGTTGAATTTATTCCTTTTCCTTTTTGTTCGTGCAGAGAAAATGTTATATATTCTGTTTCACCCAACAGTTAGGAGATGTGTATCCATGCATATCTGTCAATTAGCTTTTTTTTTTATAGAGGCTTGTAATAAAAAAAACATATTGCGTTCTGTGGTTGCAGGTAAGATGGGTTTAGTACTTAAAGAAGAAAAGGCCCACAACTGCCACACCCCACAGACATTTGCACAATGTTACAGATAATTAACCAGATTTGGAAATTTAGTTTCAGTATGGCAGAAATCAAGCAGAATGATGAATTTAAATCAATTTAAAATAATTTACTTAAACGAAAGACAATGTAAGAAAATTACCCTATATAATTTATCATTTTATTACACTGATTACATTATTTATGGAAATAAGAATGAAAATAAAGAAAATATGAATGCATTCTGATGAGACTTAATGTTATAGAGTACTTTAAAGCATGGGTCTGTCTGACAGTTTACTGATCTCTACACCAACTAATTTTCATCCCATATTGTAACCTGCAAAATTCAATTTTCCAAACACAGTGTCAATAAAGGTCATGGTCCTCACCCGGAGGTCCTGCCTCTTTGACAAATTTCTGTACAGAACAGCATCTAATTGGAAAATTAAAGTCCCTGATTTGCTATTGGAACTAGGGGTATTTCTCTCACTTTCACAAACACCAATTAGCTCAGGATAAATGAAAAACAGAGGCATGCCAGCGGTCTCACAAACACACAGTTCCCCATGCGCGCACACACACACACACATACACACACGCCTGTACAGGTCGATACACATGGCCAAGAAAGCAGAGTACACTTGAACATTTCTAACCTTTCAAGGTCACTCAGTAATATCCAAGCTTAAAGTCTACTGTAAACCCCTCCAGTCACAAATCATATTCTGCAATATGAAGCACATGCACACAAGTCCTACTGTTGGGAATAGGTTGCATTTCATCCTGATACCACAGAGGTGAAGCATTTGCCTCCTTACAAAACAAATATTAAACTGGAATTAGATCAGTCTTGCAGTTAGAGCTTAAATACAATTTGCCTGTCTCATCAGTGACTGTTTTATAAGTTATATGAATTTCAGCTTAAATTGAAATAAATCTAAATGTTACAGATAATTTGGGTATTACATAATGAACTCCAATGGAATGTTGTGAATTGAAAAAAAGAGAAGCTGAATTCAAAGACAATTTTTAAAAAAACTGGGAAAAAAAGCATGTTGCACAAAATATGGATCTTGTCCATCAAAATGTGTTAAACCACATGAAGATTAAAAATGATCAAAATATTATACAAATGACTAAACCTATAGTAATTGATGGTTAACTGAATATGTTCACAGTAGGGATACTAATTAAAAAAGAGAAAAAAACCACCTTTTTATGCAACCCTTATTATCTGTAAGGAGACATGTTAATCTACAACAAATACATCCCTGATGGTATATTGCAAAGGCAAGAATTAAATTTATTGTTTCCTGATAAAACTGTTTTGATGGTTGTATGCTTCTAAGTCTGTATCCAGTTATTCAGCAGCATGGCTTTAGTGCACAGTGGCACGCATCCAACTTTCCCAAATGCATGCTGTTGGCGCATCAAGTGGCTGCAGTCCTAAGAATCGCATCGCACTGTGCACTCATTTTCCACCCCTGTAATTTCATTTATGAAAGTCGGCAGCGTTGTTGCTAAAATGGGACTGGACTGCATCTTTACACATATACTCTTGATTACAGGTAGCTGCAAATTATTAACACGGGAGGATTTAAATTTCTACAGCCAAGCCACATGAAATGCTACTACTACTGCTGCCCAATCGCGGAGATTTCACTGAAATGTTGCAACCATAAATCTATGCGACGTAATTTTCAGTCATATCACTGCTTGTGTAAACCGGCCGATACCATTTCCTACTTCACTGTAACCTGAAAATCGTTGCAATTAGTCCGTTTAGCTTCTAAATCATTTAATGTGATCGGAATCACGACCGGTCTCCTGCGCAGCGCTCATTACCGACTAACCCGCCGTTAATTGTGTTACAAGTGGCAACAAGTTAGATGGTGATGTTCAGCCTTGAAGAAAAAATTTAAAAAGGTTCACTGAAAAGCAAAAGCCACCATTCAGGCTCTTCATACACATACATGCATGCACGCACACCAGTACAAGGACATAAAAATCGTTCTATGCATTAATGCAATTTCCCTCTGTTGCAGTGCACACACAACTCCTACAGTACAACGAAATTCATTATGCCAGTCGACAGTGGAGTTGTATATTACAAGACCAAGCCATGGCACAGTGAACTTTCCCTTTGAATTAAAACACCCCCAAAGTCCTACCTTTGTTATCGTGCGGCGGAAACAAACGCCTATGCCTCGAGTAGCAGATGCGGTCACGGCTACTCAACTTGCCGCGTCTCCCGGAATGAAAGGTATACGATCCCCTGTGTGATAAAAATCTGAGGGACTGGCGCTCTGTGCGCTCTGTCTGACACCGCGCTGCGCGTCTGGAGTCTCCGATCTGAGAAGCGCAGGCAGAAGGACGGCCAAGCCGCTCTCGGCACGGCACGGTGTGGAAAGCCCCTGGTGGTGATGGAGGGATCCTGCAAATGAAGAGGTGGAGAGAGGGAAAGCGCGAGAGAGAAAGAGAGATAGTGTAGAGTGTAGTACTGTGATCATCTGAGCCACCAATAGAAATGAAAAGTGATAGAGAAACATTTTGTTTTGACAGACCATTTCCTTTCTGATACCTCTACTTACACTGTACATCTACTGGATGTCACAATGATGTTTGTCTGTCAGCCTAAAAAACTAAAAGGGAGAGACAAATACTGTAGATGGGTGGCTTCACATTTAACTCCACCATGATGGTTTTGACACAATGGCTTAAGCGCTGTCTATTTGTTCATTATTACAACTACACTCAATAGATAATTGTACGCATTTGTTTGTATATTCTGAATTTAGGGCTGTGGCAAAAAGAGGTTGCTACAGTCCAGCATCTGCCCTGTTTTCAGATTCTGTTTTTTATTCACTTGCCTTCCTCAACTCCATATTCAACTTTTCTCCTCAGTGGCAAGTCTCTACAAAAAAGTGTAGATTGTGATTTTCTGTCCAGTGCTCTAAATCGTTGATTCTCATCAGTGCAAAGAGTAAGAAGGGCCACTGTGGGTTTCAGCTGCAATATAGGAAGGTGGTGCCTCTTTTTTAATTGCCTGCATGAGTGGTAGAAAACAACTGTAAGAGGAAATTAAAAAATGCTTGAGCACAATGGACTGTGATGAAGTCTGGAGGTGGTATTCAGATGAATTTTCTTTGGGTATTTGAGGAGGTAAAAATGTCAAGTATGCCTGCTTCCTTGAAGTGGTTCAAGTGTTAATCAGAGTGTGCGTGTGTGTGTGTGTGTGTGTGTGTGTGTGTGTGTGTATGTGTGAGAAATATGCACAGCGAGGGACAGGAATGTGACAGAGGGAGAGAGACTGAGACAAAGACAGAGGGAGAGGTTTCTGCTGCAGATTACCCACCGTCACAACCAGCTGGAGTCTCTCAGAGGCTCAGTCAGCAAGGTTACGAAGCTGATGTACTAAAAGGCCGTCGTGCGGAGGCAGTTCACAGAGAGGCGCTGAATAAAGGAAGAGCAACTCAGAGAGAGAGAAAGAGGAGGAGGAGGAGGAGGGGGAGTCAGAGAGGGGCAGAGGGTGAGAGAGAACGTGAGAAGGAAACAGGTTATATCTGTTCTAATATTAATCCAAAGTAAGGACTTCATGACTTGCAAATCGATAATTCAACATGTAGACTCACAAGCAAATGATTAGCCTACATAGAAACTGTATGGAATTGGCAAGAAATCTCCTATTAATCAAAATTATTTCACATAATAATTCTGTTTGCATTTATATTTTTTTAATTCCAAAATTTTAAAATGTTATCACCTTGCCAATTAGCAGCATTTTAGAGATTGTTTGCCTTGATATTTAATCAGTTATTTTGTCAGTTTACTGACTGATGCTCCTGCAATTTTAGCACAGATGACTTGCCTACATTTGGATCTCTGTTAGTTGCCTCAAGTTGGTTTGACGGAATTGATTTAATTTGGTGTCCAAATTTAAGCAAAGTCCTGTAATCACCTTTGCTCAACCTTTGCGTTATGTTCCAGTATTGCTGTCCCTGGTCATTTTACATAGCCAGCTCTTAGGGTGGAAGTGCTGACTAAGGACGTGTCTCTTGAATATTACATTTTTCTCCTCAGCAGCGAGGTGTTGAAACACTGCCCGTGCCTATCGCTCAAGCCCATAATGGGAACCGGAGACCAGCATGCAGCTACAAACATAAATATCTCTGTATATAGTACTGTAAGACACAAGCAGCAGCAGATCAATACAGGGCCTTGAGAGAGAGAAGAACCATAGATGGCAACAGTAGTGTTACCAGAATACTTCACCAGTTCACCAGTACTACTCTATCACCCATGTTGATAATAAATGAAGGTCATAGTCAAAGGTTACAAACTCTATTTTCTTCCAATAAAGTATTGTTTCCCTGCCACAGTTGCTATTGTGTATTTTAGCCATCTCATCTCAGGATATTACCCATGCTCACAATTGCTTCTGCCCAGTTTTAAAACCAATAGCCGACTAGGCTGTATTCGCCTGAAAAAGGAGCTGATCAAAGCTGATCCCAATTCAGCACCCCGGACAGCTCCTCATTTTCAAACAGTAGACTGTAGGAGAAAGCTGATCAAAGCTGATCCCAAACTAACACCCTGGAAAACTCCTCATTTCCAAACTGTAGATTGTGGGAGAGGGCTCCTTCAAAGCTGATCCCAAATCAGCTCCATGGACAATTCTTCATTGCCAATTGGAAGACTGTGGGTAAAAGCTGCTTCAAAGCTGAATACAAATCAACACTCTGGACAACTCCTCATTTCCAAACAACAGAGCTGCTGCAAAGCTGATCCTATATCAGCACAATAGACATTTCCTAGTTTTCAAAGGATAGCCTGTGGTTATTTGCTGATTCCCAATCAGCAGCATGGACAACTGATTTTCAAATGGAAGACTGTGGGAGAGAGCTGCCAAAAAGCTGATCCCAAATCAGCACCACCGACAACTACTTATTTCCTAACCGCTGCTGAAAGCTGCTTCAAAGCAGATCCTACATGTGTGGCCACAGTTCTAGACAAAGAAATATTGAAACTATGCTAAAAAAATTACATTGCATATTTCAAGTTACCTTAATTTAAAAATGACACAAAGAAGATGAGTCAATTCTAATATATGTTCGTGGGGCAGGTGTGGCAAGCGTGAGCCACTTTCAAGATGGATTAAGATAAAAAAAAAGAGCACTCCTCTAACTAGCCTAAAACAAAATATATTGACTGTAATCAAAAAATAATAAGCCAAATAACTTTATTTATGTGCAGCTTTTACAAAATACTGTACAATCAATGCAAGATTTGAACCAACAAGGTTAAAACAAGAAGCATCAGAAGCAAAGCGTAAGGTTGAGGATATGATGTGTAGGGTAAGTTCTTCCAAGAAACTATGTATAAATAACTGTATAAATATAATCGACAAAAAAGTACAAAAACATAAAAAAGTAAAAATACAAGTAATAAAACCATGAGGATGGAAAAAGAGACTAAGGACTATTGTGATATTTATGACAAACCCTTTAACAAAGCTTGCCAATACTCAGAAATGAGCAATAGTGTTTCCTTACAACACAACACAAAAACATTAACACTTTTTTTATTTAATAAAGATTTGTCTGGTCTTAGTGTCAAATTAGGAGGGCTTTGACTCATTGAAAGTTCACTCTAGCTGTTGCAGGGCCATTTCAATTCAATTTGATTCAATCCAATAAACTGTATTTATCCCTGCAGGCAAGTTTTCATGGGGTTTAAAATACATTAAAACAACACACACACTATGAATATAAAAAGTAACCAGTTCACACTCACCTCAACAGAAACCAAACTCTAACCAATGTTTACCTACTTACATAAGCTAGAATTTACAACAATTTAAATTTAGTCATTTTCAATTAGCAGTATACATCGAGATTCTGAGGTTGACTAGATAGGAGAGGTTCAGTCACAAACTAACAACAAAGTCAATTTAACCCTACAATAAAAGCAAAGCCAGTATTATCAAGCATTAGTAAATATATCAGATATCTTGATAGATTAAAACAAGGCACTGAAGCTCACATAAAGTGGAGCAAAAGCAACCTGGAGCTTCAGTACAGCTCTTCTGTCTAACTATACTCTTTATCAGGTTCTATCAGATCTATCTATAGTTGTTCTGGAGTATTTTTTAGGTATGTCAAAGTCAGCTGCAGGCTCTAGGTTAAAATCAACACACCTGCCAGACATCCCTATCTCAGTTTTGAGAGATCAAAGAAGAGCAACCGGAGGCCCAAATCAATAGTGCATCATCTGTATTTTACTATGTGGATTTCAAGCCACTACCTTCTACTTGCAATTGCTTTTTCCAGTGCATTTAACCATGGTGGTTCAGTGTATGGGTTAAGAGGAGTTGTCCGTATTTTTCCTATTGGTATCTATAAACTTGTGGAAGAGACAGCTCTTCACTTCATTGCTTTATTTTACATTAGTTTGATTTGCTTTCCGAATGCTGTATCCAGACTGCTGTGTCTATTCTTCATTTACCTGTTTTTTGTTGTGGCTTCCAAAAATCTAATGAGACATAAAAAGGTCAACCTAAGATTTGCAAACAAACCGTGTGCCCTATAAATGCTATGCAATGTAAATTTGACAAGTTTATCATTTTGTATCCCTGTCACATTTGTGTTCTACATGAAATGCTAATTTTTATGCAGAAAGGTTGCACGCACAGGAAATTTGGTCTTGTTAAATTTCACTCTTCTACTGACCTATTCTGTTACTCTTTCTATGCCAAGTCATAATAGACTTTGCTACTTTTTATTTACTACGTGATTTTAGCATTGGGTGGTAGCCTCTGTTGCCGCCATGTTATCTTAGCTCCTAGCTTAGCCTAGCCTACTAGCTTAGCCTCTAGTCACCCACAGCAACCAAGCCAACTGTGTTATGATGGTTTGTGTAAACTATTCCACCTTATATTTTGCAGGTGTCTCTTCGAGAGAGATGTGTATGTCAGGTAGAACAGCTCATCTCTGCTAACATTACCTTAGATGAGAATCAGATTCACTTTTAATGGCAAGGTATGTGTACACATTTGAGGAATTTGACTCTGGCCCTTACATTGCTCTCAGTGTACATACACAGAACAAGTGTAACAGGACAACAAGGTCAGCAAAAACAGATACAAATTATAGTGTACAGTACACACATACACACAACCATAAACAAAAACAACAACACAGGTAGAAAATAGTCTAGTGGAGCAGAGAGCAAACGATGCTGGAATGAATATTTTGAGCAAGTATTATAATGTACATAATGTATATGGATATGATATATATATTATATACACTATGAGCAGCAACTATATTACCACAATGATGAGTAAATAGTACATAGTTAACAGTATACAGGTAGATGTTAGAATCAGAGTCACAGGTTCTGATTCTGATTTT